AAGTTGTGATTCTGATGGGCTTTCCTTTGTAGGTGATTTATTTCTTTCTACAACAGCTTTTAAGATTCTATTCTGTGTTGAATTTCTGGAATCTTGACTATGATATGCCTGGCTATAGAAAGTTTTTCATGGTGGCTGTTTGGGGTTCTATATGCCTCACTTAACTATGTCAAATTCTTTTTCTCTGCCAGAGAATTCTCTGCCATGATGTCTGTGAAAAGTTGTTTTTTTTTTTTTTATCAGTTGTGCTATCTCCTGCTTTGTGATTAACTCCAATCATTCTTGAGTCATTCTTATTTGCCTCATCTAGCAGCTGTTATCCAGATTTCCCACCATCTCTTGCTGTTTTTAAGGAATCTTTCTTTTCATGATCACTAACTGCAAGCTTGTCTTCTATATCTGAGATCCTTTCCTCACATTGGCTTAATATGCTATGGATACTTTGGATATAATTTTTATTCTCCTGGATATTTGCTTGAATCTGCCTTATGTATGCCATTTCTTTCTTATGCTGAGTATTAATGGTTTCCATAATTTTCTTTCCTAATTTTGTCTTTATCTTCTCTAGAATCACTACATATGGTTTTCATTATGGATACCATCTCTGCAGTTATTTGATAAATTATTTCTGATTTGATGTTTTTAGAGCCTCATTCAATTGCTTTAATGTTATCATTTCATAGGGTTGAGGTGGGTGGCTTTCTGATTGTCCCACCTCATTATCTCCTGAGTTTACCTTTGGTGAGCTTGAAGTCTAGGGTTACATTTTAAGTGTTTTCTCATTTTCTTTTCTTTTTTAAAGTTTAATTATTTCTGAGGTGATGCTTATAAATTGCCCGTGGTGGGTTGCTTTGTTGCTCATATTTAAGATTCTATTCTGTGTTGAACTTCTGAAAGTTTGACTATGATATGCCTGGCTATAGAACTTTAGAACCGTTGGGAAACAACTACTTCTCTGAATTGCCTTCCAGATATAGATGGTTTTGGGTTTTAACTCTGTTGCAAGATCCTATATCTTTAATTTGTTGGGATGAAAAGTTACTGCCTGTTTGTCCTAGATATTGGCTCTATCGCACTGTGTCAAAGTATTTTTAATGCCCCTTAGTCAATCTCAGTCTTGGAATACCAGAAAGGACATCTGTTTAAAATGAACATGTCAGTTTTGGCCATAGTGGTGCCATTAGCAGTGACAATAGCATCAAATACAGCGGGGAGCTAGCTCAGTCATCTGAGGGCCTGCCTGGCAAGCACAAAGACCCAGGTTTGATGCTTGGTATCACATGCCATGTCGGCCCCAGAACCCTGGGTGCACCATGCTGGCCACTGAAACTAGGTGCGGCGATACACGCCTGTAATCCCAGCACGGGGGAAGCGGAGACAGGAGGATCATTATGAGTCCAAGCTGCATAATGAGACCTGTACCAAATAAATGAATGATTAAAAAATGCAGCCTAGAAAATGACAAACTGAGCTAACCATTAATTTCCCCCTTTAAGTCTATGAACAAGATTTGTTATTATATAACAAAATCTGAAACAAAGCATAAAATTAGATGCAGTATACAAGTCTTTTGTATGTCAAATTTGCCCTCAGGAGTTAAAGTTTTGGAAAAAGTAGAGAAGTGGAAGAAAAGATTAAAAGTCGTGCTTGAGGACAAAGGGGGATCGTGCTAACTTTGGGAATCTCATGTAGAAGACTAAAGGGAAAAAGAAGAAATAAAAAAAAATCTCAAGCAAAGAAATAGAAAAAATAAAAAACAAAAGGAAAACTACAGTTATGAAAAAATAGTGTTAAAAAAGGAAAAGGTCCACTTTTAGGTATGTTTCTGCTCTCACTGGTAGTTAGTATGTGGAGACAGAATATTGATGAATGCTGATTTACCTAACAAGGTTGCAGTACCTTTTTGGCATGGTAGTGGGTAGTCTCAGTGAACCTGTACCTCTGGCTGAGACCAGACTCATTCGGCCTACAGCCATCAGCCCACCTTTCACGGGCCTGAGCCCAGGTAGGAGCCACTAGATGGAGCTAGCAGCCGATCTGAGTTCTGAGTTCAGCTGGTCCCTCTCGGAAATAGCTTCTGGCAATCACTCTCTTGTTCAGGATGACTAAGCCCTCAATACTGACTGCCAGCTTGTGCAGTCCTTCATGTTCGCTGCTCCCCTGTACTGCTACATCTCTCAATGGAGGCCTCTGCGGTCTCCAGCAGTCTCCGTGTGTCTGAAGGTTTGAACTCCTCACCTTCTGCAGTGAGTCCTTTTTCAGGAAAGGGGCCACCAGCTACCTCCTTCTTCATTGAAGTTTCTCTCTTCCTTCTCTCCATGCACTTCAATTTAAGCTTCAGGTCCTTCCTGGTCCCAGCAGATTCACTTCCCTTTTTCTTGTCTTCCTCACATGCTATATTCTAGCATCTGGATAGTGACTGTTTGGCTCTTTCTCTGCTGCTTACTATTCTACCATTTTGGTGCTCTGGTTCCAAATGCTAAAAATAGCAATTCTAGACATTTTAAATGATACGACTATCCTGGTCCCTCATGCCTTGCCAGCACCAGTCCCGCCCCCAGGGCATCGTGAACCTGGGCATGGTGGCACACGCCTGTAATCCCAGCACTGGGGAGGCTGAAAACAGAAGGATCACTATGAGTTTGAGCTGCATAGTGAGACCCTGTACCAAATACATTAAAAAATAAAAATAAAAAAGGATATGGCTTTGAAATGTATAAACAACACCAAATTATGTGGCATAAAAATGTTTTCATTACCATTTTTATTATCAGCAAATCATCAGCTCCTCCAATGAGATGACTTTCCATAGTCAAGTAAAAGTACATTCTCTGGTAACTACCATGCCAGGGAAGAGAATGTTGTCTAAGAAGAGAATCTTTGAAATGTTCCCTTTATCTTTCATCATACAAAAGAACAGATTGGCTTTGAAAAAGTCCTGCCAGCCACATAGTATGCCAACTTTTGATACTATCGAGATAATTAAAAGGAGCAGAGACAGTAGTGATTCATTTTGCTTTGAACTATGAAAGGCTACCTTGAGCATACCTTGAATTCTAGGGTACTTGTATCAAGATGAAAATATGAAAAAGTAGATAATTTAGTTCTGGCATTCCTTAGGAGGTCTTTAGGATTCACAAATGGTGAAATTCTTTTGAGTGTCCCATGTGACTGTCCAAAGGGTAATTTGTACAAGTTACTTTACACATACATGTCCAGAAGATGGACCAAGACCTGTAGATCTTTACAAAAGTGCTTTGAAAAGCATACAACATGTGACTCATATAGTTCTTTTATATGAGAAGCAGATATGATATGCCATTTGGATGAAGGCTTTCCCATTGATCTTTGTCTCCGTCAATTTTTATGGCGCTTGCTTTCAGACTCAGAAGTGGATTAACACCTCCATTCTGGCTGAGTACACTTTAGCCAAACTGCCTTCACTAACCACAGCCCATATACGGTTGAAATTTTCTGTTTTGTGAGGCTGGCATTACATTATACCATGGTGTGCATCATTAGGTTGTTCTTTAATTTTTTCCCTTTTCTTGATTTGTATTTAATCAGTCTTTTTCAATTTATCATATTGTACCCATTGAACTGAGACAAGGCTGCATATTTAAGTGAATTTGTATTATTTAGTTGCTGTCAGACAGAGAAAAATATTCTATATGTATATCTTAGTTTATTCTTATGAATACCATACAGCACTATTACCTTTAGAGTTCTGGGGTTTTTTCCAGGTTGAAATGATCAGCTGGATCTGAAATCATCATTTTTTATTTTATTTATTTATTTTTTGTGGTACCAGGGATTTAACTCAGGACCTTGTGCTTGCCAGGCAAGCGCTTATTCTACTGAGCTATCTCCCCAGCCCCATCATTTTTTATGGTGTTTGAGTAGTGAGTTTTATGGTCCTACCTACCAAGAAAGGCATATCCTAGATATATGAATATTACCAAGACCAGTTTAATGAAGAAAGAACATGGGATAAATAAGTCTTGAACATGGTTCTTCAAGTTTTATATAGACATTATTGCTCATGATAGAGTTGTGATTTTTCTCAATGCTGTTTGTATTTGGAGGAATGTTTGTATTAGATAGTATTTCTTTCCTCAGGCCACAAGTAAACATGCTTTACATTTCTGCCTACCTAGAGAATCATGATGGTCTCTTTATTCTTCTTTCCTCTACATTTTTATGCAGTTGATAAGCCAAATGGTATGCTCTTCTTATTTTTCTTTCTAGGAGGTCATGATATTTTCATATAGGTTTTCTTTTTCTTCACTTGATCTAAGCCAAAAGGCTGAGAAGTGGTGGTTTTCTTTTTCTTTATTCCTTCCTTTCCTTTAATTCTAAATCTGGTTTATATAGAAATAATAGTCACAGAAACCAGAAGCCAGTGGTGTTTTAATACTTAACACACACTACATCTTTTAGTAACATGTTAATACTGTCATCATCCCCATCCTCACTTCATAGATGATGGAACTGATGCCTAGAGGGCTGAGGAATTTGAGCCATTAGACTAGGGTGTCTGACAGGACTGGTCTTGAAGGCAGGACTCACGGACTCAGGAACCTGTCTTCATCATGAAAAACATAATGCAAGAGTAGAAAAATTGTCTAATCCAAACTATTTTACAAATGGAGAAAAAGGTCAAAAGAAGTTGAAGTCCTTCCTTGAGGTCATATGACTAGTTAGCAGAACAGGCAGTTTTGGTTGGTGTCCCTTTTCTAGAAAGTGCTGTGGACATAGTCCATTTCCTAGCTTGTGATAAGTTCTCATCTGTGGACCAATCTGTTAAACAAGGAAATTGGGGCTCACTGTAGGGAGTTGTTCAAAATGGTGGCTAACTCACCCCCTTCTGTCTGAGGGTTAAGAGGAATCCTTATAGCTGGACAGACTTTGCAGAAGCTGTTCACCATGTGGGCTTGTTATCTTCCCAAGCTGGAAACCCACTTCTAGCCAGACTCCTGCAAAGCCAGGAAGTAAGTCCTTGCTGGGGAATTTTCCATGGTTTCAGGACTCCTTCTCCCTTCAAAGTCAATCACATCCAGGGTGAAGCCAGGCTCCCCCCATTGTTCTGTGCTCATCCCACTCTCCAGGCCCTGCCTCTCTGTGGAAGGTAGATAGAGTTTGACAGATGGAGAAACAGCAGCAGTCTCAAGAACGGCTGCCAAATGGGATAGAGGAGGAGGTGATCTGATGGGTCGTGGCATTGAAGTGAAAGGGTACAGACATATGCATCAATGAAGACAATGAATGGTGACCCTCCTGAGGACACGGCAGTATTTTCTGTCACTGAATGAACTGTGTTGAAGGTTTGAAAAAGAGAAAGGCAGTTGCTGGGTAAGGTATGCCTTTCTGATAGATATCTATCTATATCTATATCTATTTATGTACATATCTATCTTGCATGTAGATATGCATAGATATTGTGGAATTTAAATATTTTCTGATATATCTATATATTGCATATAGATATGCACATTTTTATTTGATATTTAACTTGCATAACAGTACTTCAAAAGATAAGTGTCCCAGTTAAACTTTTCTTACACTAAATTTTTGCTGATTACAAAATTAAATTTCAAAAAAGTCTGAAGAAAGATGTTGTGGTTCACTGAGATCCACAGGAAGGTGGGAATGTGGCTTGCTATGGGATGCTTGTGTTTTTGCTCTATGCCTGTCTTCCTTGCCCTTCTTCTGCAGGTAGCCAGGTCTCTGGTGTTCCCCTTGCCTTTATGCTAGAGAAGAAAGTCCAAGTTGCCCACAATAGAGGAGAGATGGGCTGTTGTCTTTTAGAAACCCCTGGAGGGTATCATATCCCGAGAGGAAGAGGTAGCAGGGACCTCTGCGAGGTAAGCAGGAACATAAAAAAGAACAGAGAGTTTAGAAAGAGGTCAATTTCCTAAGGTTAGTGGATACAATTACCTGCTTCTTTGGAGCACCCTAGTGCTGTGCAAGGATTTGCCTGTATGGGGAGAGGGGAGGCATCTAAGGAAGCCCCATGTCCCAACCTTTTGCAAATAATTCTGCAGCACATGATTCCAGCCCGTCCATGCAAAAGTTTTCAGAGGCTTCTAGTCCTTCAATTTTCTTTTAAAGACTCAAATCCAACTGTCTTTTCAACAAATGATTGTTTTAAGGGCTTCCTGTCTATAGGAGATAGAGAAAGGTATTCCAGCAAAATTATATGTGTGAACTGGTGCTCACAGCCCATGGCCTCTGCAGAAGTCCAAAGGCCTTTGTCTATCAGCAGCTAGATGAGTGAAAGGGCTGCTTGTGGGTGGCCTTGAGTGACATCTGATGGGGTCTTTGCAGGCCAATGGCTTTCAGATACGTTTTAGGATCATGAATAATTTTTCAAATAAAATCTTACACAGTGATACAATAGCTCAGATAGATAGTAGTGAAGGTGCATGCTGGGTGTGTCCTCTGCATACACCCTTGGCATGTCTGTGGCACCTTGGCCATGGATAGTAGGGATCCCAGTATCTGATCAGATTTGAGGCATAAAAAGATGATCATCTAGTGATGTGAAGGTACACTGAGGGCCAGAGACAAGGAGTGTTAGCTTGGGAGCGTAGAGACCGACATAGTGAGGAGAAATTCCTGAGCACAGCTGGTTATATGGAAATAACTTTGTCAGCCGGCCATGGAGGTGAATGGCTGTACTGCTCAACCTCTGGGAGGCTGAGGCAGAAGGGTTGCAAGTTAAATCACAGTCTGGGCAACTTAGCAACTGAGTGAGTCTTTGTCTCAAACATAAAAATAAAGAAGTCCAGGAGCTAGGAATGTAGCTCAGTGTAGAGGTCCTGAGTTCAATACCCAATAACACACATGTGCACGCACGCGCACACACACACACACGCACACACACACCCCACCCCCATCCCTTTGTGTTTCCATGAATTTTAGTTGTTACTGTGAACCTCATTAGATTTGGTAGTAGAAATGTAGTTATAATTCTGAGTCATACTCTTCTCTGACTTGAGTCTAATCCCCTAGGGTGTCTAGATGGTAAAAGTTAGTACCTATTCAAAACTTAATTATGCAAAGGACAGATGCTTTACAAAATTTAAAATAACCCAATAGGGCAGTAGTGCTATCACAGTAACCTTACAGGGCAGGTACTGTTACTATACGTGTCTTACAGAGATGAGGAAACTGAGGCCTAGAGAGTTGAGTGATTTTTAGCATTGAAACTGGAGCAACCTGAGTTCCAGGGTGGCCCTGAGTCTAGGTTCTTACCGGCACAGCGGCAATGTGGAGGAGTCTGTAGGGAGTGTACCATTTTGTCCTTGGGACATTCACTGTCATTTAGTTTGTTCTGTTTTTTTCCATCTGGTGCAGGACATAACCCTTGTAGGTCACTCTGGGTCTTCCGGAATGATTCATTCAGCTTCTTGCGGCCTACTCTGTGACAGGAAGAAACTCTTTGAGGCTGTCTAGGACTCGACCCAGACACGTGGCTCTCCACAGGGATTTTGCTCCTGTGGGACATTTGGCAATGTCCAGAAGTATTTGAGGTTGTCACAGTTGAAAATATAGAGTACATTACAAGAATATGGTGGGTAGAGACCAGAGATGCTGCTATAATCCCAAGACGGCCCCCATGGTAAAGAATTGTCCAGGTCAAATATCAACAGTACCAGAATTGAGAAACCCTAACATAAAAGTGGAATTATATTTCAGCAATTTTATTGACAAAACTTTTCTTGCCAGAGCTCTCTCTTGAGAGGAAAGTACAGGCTGCCTTTACTCTAAGACCCCCACCAACCATCTAGGTTTCAGGCCTCTCCCTCTCAGAGTTCAGAGCGCAGCATGGCTATTGGGTGGGTTGAGATTGGAGTCACCTTTCAGGGCCCCTCTATGTTAAGACTCTCTATACTTCATCTCCATATCCCTCTTTCCTCTTTCTTCTTTTTGTGAAGTCTGAGTATAGGAAGCTTTGGTTGTACCCATTATGCATGTATGCTTGCTTGCCTGCCTGCTCTCTCTCTCTGTCTCTCTCTCTCTCTCTCTCTTTCTTTCTTTCCAGTACTGGGGATCAAACTAGGTACCTTGCACTTACCAGACAGGCACTTATTCTTTAAAAATCTTTTGCCCATGAATTATTATTCCCCTAACTTTTGAATCAAATCACAAGAGTTGATCATCCCTTTTTCTCTTCTTTATGCTACATAAGGTCTTTCCTTGAGACAATAAGTACAGCAAAGGCAGCAAATTGAATGCTGTTTTAAAGAAATGGGAAGAAAGCAATTATGTATTCATGTCAGCATTTTGCAGTCAGTATTCTGGTGTGGGCGACAGTCAATGGATTTTCTTTGAAAAGGGGGAGCTGCTGTATGCGGTCCCCTCTTAGAATTCACAGTCCATGAAAGCATTCCGCAGGCTCCACAGAGCAAGCTAGTTAAATTTGCTTCTCCTAGCCCTTCCCAAAGCTGTTTGCCCAGAAAAATCTAGTCCCCCAGCCCCATGGGATTCTGAGAATGTGACCTCTATCAAAACATTGGCAGAGATGAGAGGACAGGTTCTAGAGATATTAAAAGTCAAACCTAATAGTACTTGATGAATGATTGGTGGTGGGAGGTAAGGAAGCAAGAGAAATCAATGGGAGATACAGAACCTTCAAAATTGAAGGAATAAATTTTGTATTGTCCCTTCTATGTCACAATGTATTAGGCACCCGGGATTTTTAAAAATATAAACCATAAAATAACAATACTGAGTTTACCTCCCTCTTGGATAGTGGCAGTAGCTTTCTAACCAGTCTCACTTGCCCTGCCTTTCTCTTCTAATCTCAAATCCAACGAAGCCAAGGAACTCTTTCTAAACAAAGGCCTGACTGTGACCTTACTCGGATCACAGCTCTTGAGTAGTGTGGCTTTGCATGTAGACAGTTGAATTTTTTTTTTTTGCATATTGTTTAGGGGCTCTTGTCAAAATCTTATTGAATATGAATAGAACTGGACATAAGAAATGAGCAGCTCTTCCTCGGCAACATCTTGGGAGGCACTATCTGGACTGATATGCTCTTGTTCCTCTTGGGAACTCTGGGGGGCCAGGCAGGCGGGGCTGGGGTCAGGGGAGCATGTGCTCCATCCATGAGTGAATATCTTGAGTCTTATGCTTTATATTGCGCAGCGGGAGTGTAAGTCTTCAATCCATACAGATGCCTTCTTCTATTTGCCCTCTAGATCCACTCATCCTTGCCTACTCTGTTCTGTGCTTGGGAAGGCTGGCCTCTGCAGACTCCCTTTCCCTGTCTCTTCAGTTGGGTTTGATCAAGGGAAACTGTTAGCAGAAGACAGGAGGAAGGGAGTGGGGAGGGAGGAGCTTGGGATTGTAGTGTTTGTTCCCTGGGTCTTTCCTGGAAGGGCACTGCGCCCTGGCTGTGTCCTGTGATCATCCCTGCTCCTCCCCAGGTGGCCTCCTCCACCACTTTTCATCCTCTCTGGGTTTGGGTAATGGCCGCTTTTCTCTCTTTGAACCCAGCATGGTGACATCACCCCACGTCTGGCCTCTGGCTCTTGCAGCATCTTTGCGGCTCCTCCACATCCAAGCTCTGGGCTGTAGATAAGTCCTTAAAAATAAGCCTCTTCCAGTTCTCTCGGTTCAAAAACCTTATTTCTTTCCCACTGGGGGTCTCACTGACATAGCCACCTATCTGTAACACTGAGGGGTTCACCTGTAAATTGTGAAGATTGAGATAATGACGTGTGGTGCTAAATAGAGAATTCCCGTCTTGTATTTTTATTCCTATTTCAAATATCATAAAACTACAGAATAGAATATTAAGCAGGGATATACCTCAGTGGCACAGTGCTTGCCTGGCAAGTGTGAAGTCTTCAGTTTGATTCCTGGTGAAAAAAAAAAATATTAAATTTAAAAGTAATTTTTTTTTTTTTATTTTAGGGAAGGGTCTACAGGGTGTTCAGGGTCTCACTACTAGATCGGACTTGTAGTGATCCACCTGTTTATAGCCTTCCAAGAGCTGGAGTTACAGGCGCGCCACCATACCCAGTCTCAATCTCCATCTCAGCGAGCCCTGGGGGCGGGGTCAGCACCAGTATGGCAGGCCTGGGGATCAAAGCCCTGGTCCCTGTACCTG